GCTAACACTAAACAATCATAAAATTATGATATCAAAACAGAATGTGAACATTATAAATCTGGATTGTGTAAAAATAATGATACAATAAAGATTGGGGAAGTGAGGGAGAGGAGATCAGGGCATCAAGAGAGTTCTAATGTTCTCACCATTTGAAGCTAAGATATCGTATCCAAAATAAAATCATGTAAATAGATCTAAATGATTTTCATAATCAACTTTATTTAACTCTAGAGCAGGGGTACACAAACTACTGCTTGAGGGCTCACCACCTGTTTTTGTAAATAAAATTTTTGTCCATTTGGGCTGCTGTAACAAAATACAATAAACTGGGTGGTTTATAAACAACAGAAATTTATTTCTCATGGTTTTGGAAGCTGAGAAGTCCAAAATCAAGCTGGTGGCAGATTTGGTGTCTGGTGAGGACCTATTTCCTGGTTCATAGATGGCACCTTCTCTCTGTATCCTCAGATGATGACGGGGACATGACAGCTCTCTGGGGTTTCTTATAAGAGCATTAATTCCATTCATGATGGTTCCATCCTCATGATTTAACCACCCTCCAAAGGCCTCATCTCTTAAAAGTATCACATTTGTGATTGTTTCAACATGTCAATTTAGTGGGGAGGCTAACATTCAGATCACAGCACACAGCTTCACCATTTATTTAGACATTGTCTGCAGGCTGCTTTCTTACTATCTGAATAACAGATAGGCAAAAGATCTGAACAGAGCCCTCATGACTGAAATATTTATTATTTGGTCCTTTAAGGAAAAATTTGCCAGCCCTTGCAGAGGAATCATTTAATTCAGAGAAATCTTGCAGTAAAGAAATATTTATTTGAGGTTTAATAATGTGTTAGTTTCCTTTGAGCTGTTTTTTCTTCTATTTATGTAAAATTAATAAGTCCTTTTTTTTTTTTTTTGAGACGGAGTTTTGCTCTTGTTACCCAGGCTGGAGTGCAATGGCGCAATCTTGGCTCACTTCAACCTCCGCCTCCTGGATTCAGGCAATTCTCCTGCCTCAGCCTCCTGAGTAGCTGGGATTACAGGCACGCGCCACCATGCCCAGCTAATTTTTTGTATTTTTATTAGAAACTGGGTTTCACCATGTTGACCAGGATGGTCTCGATCTCTTGACCTCGTGATCCACCCGCCTCAGCCTCCCAAAATGCTGGGATTACAGGCTTGAGCCACTGCACCCAGCCTATAAGTCCTATTTTTTATACAACGATGTATCATTCTAAAGATGTCAGGGATGATGGATCACCTGATGATATTTGGCATGATTTCTTAAGCTTTTGTCTTTTGTATTTCTACACTGCTTGGAATCTTTATAATGGGCATACATCATTTTTACCAAAATAATAAAATAGAATGGTGTTTCTATTTGAAAATGCTGGGAGCATATGTGTCAGGACATTAACAATGGTTAATTCTGGCTGATGGGAATATGATAGCTGTTTTCTTATTTACGTTTTTCTATATTTTTTACATTTTCAAAACAATTTTTGGCTGGGTATAGTGGTTCACACCTGTAATCCCAGCACTTTGGGAGGCCAAGGCAGGAGGATGGCTTGAGCTCAGGCATTCAAGACCAGCCTGGGTAATAGAGCAAAACTCTGTCTTTACAAAAAAAATACAAAAAATTAACCAGGTGTGTTGGTGCACACCTGTGGTCCCAGCTACCTGGGAGGCTGAGGTGGGAAAATCACCTGAGCTCAGGAGGTCAAGGCTGCAATCAGCTGTGATCGTGCCACTGAACTCCAGCCTGGGTGACAGAGTGAGACCCTGTCTTTAAAAAAATTTTAAGCTATTTTAGAAGATTTAGCATCAAGTGATAATGTTCTGAATTCCAGTTTAGGAAATAATAATAAAGAACTAGATAGAAGGGGACATTGTTCTATTTATGATTTATATCATATACAAACTACAAAGTATGGTTGCAGAATAAAATATAATAAAAAGCATGACAAAAATAGAAGCTACAGCAGATGATATTTGAATTCTTTCAGGCAATCAGCACTTTCATAAAGCTGGTTTTTCTTTTTTTTTTTTTTTTTTTTTTCCTTTTGAGATGGAGTCTCACTCTGTCACTCAGGCTGGAGTGCTCTGGCACGATCTTGGCGCACTGCAAACTCCACCTCTCAAGTTCAAGCAGTTCTCTGCCTCAGCCTCCTGAGTAGCTGGGATTACAGGTGCCTCCCACCATACCCAGCTAATTTTTGTATTTTTAGTAGAGATGGGGTTTCACCATGTTGGCCAGGCTGGTCTTGAACTCCTGACCTCATGATCTACCTGCCTCAGCCTCCCAAAGTGCTGGGATTACAGGCATAAGCCACCGCACCTGGCAAAGCTGGTTTCTTTAATTTGCATCAATCTCAATTTACGTTTCCAGTTTCATTCCCCTCTCCTATGCTCCTTCTCATTTCCATGCCCTATACTCCAGTCACATAGAGGAGCTCCTCATCAGCAAAATCTTCATGCGTGAAATATGCTATTTTGCTCCATTGCTACCACTTTTTCTACCTATAACTGCATCCTCTTCTCCACCTGATATAATTTAGTGTTTTCTTTAAGGTGCAATTTAAATATCACTTATTGCAGTACATCTTAACTTTGGCTGCACATCAGAATCACCTTGGGAGCTTTCTAGAAATACTAAGGCTCAGGCCCCAGTCCGGCTATTCTGAGTTAATTGCCCGGGTTGGGGCCCAGGCAGCAGTATTTTTAAAAAGCTCCCTGAGTGAGTCTAATATATAGCCAGGGCTGAGAGTCACTGCAAAGCCTTCTGCAATACCAGCAGGCAGAGTTAATTACTCCCTCTTCTATATTCCTGCAGGCCTTAGCTTTTCCATTGCTCATGAAATTTAATGCTCATTGTGTTAAAGTTAGTGTTATATAGTAAGTGCTCAGTAAATGCTGAAGGTCGTTTCGTTCCTTCACCAACCAAACATTTGCAGAAGTGGTTATCCTTACCATGGAATAGGACAGCAGAGTGGGCAGATGTTTCCTATCCAAGACACTATCTGAGGGATTTATTTCTGTAGATGAAAACACTACCTTTCATTCCCGAGCGTGCACGCGCATGTGCACACACACACACACAAACACACACACACACACACACATATCACGCCACTGCCTTTTCAGCATAGTTATGGGGTCTTGTTTTTACATTGCTGAGTTTGATGCAATTGAAAGAATTAAATGAATGTGCTGATTGCCTGACAGAGTCTGAACATCACCTGCCTACCATCCTCTCCTTTGTGTCATCCTTTATGTTGTGTTTTATATTGGATCCTGCTACTTTAGCTTTCAAGAGTAGGTTGTCAGGTGTTCTTTGTCAAAGGCTTTCAGAAAATCCAGATAAATTGTGCTCTGTGTCCTGAAACTGCCAAACCTATATTTTACATAATCACAGTGCTTGACAGTTTTATTTAAGTTGAATCTTTCTCTGTTCTTCCAATTTACCTTTGTCTCACTGTCCCTTATATCCTTATATCAATCAGACAAGTGGAGACCCTGCCACTTTTGATACTGAATATCCTCAGCTATGTACATACCTTCTAGAGCATAGTGCATTGGATATCTCAGCCTCCCTGATTAGCAGGAGACCCTGGAAGCTGTTCATGTCTGGAGGTGAGGTGGGGAGAGGAGAGCTGAGGATGAGGGCCAGAAACCAAGGTGGATCAGCAAGACCAGAGTCCTACAATAAATCTTAGGAGTCCTGCACTTATTAAGGCGAGGCTGGTAGCACCTCCCTTTCTCCTTCTGATTCACCTGGGAAGAAACAGATTGCACTAACAGTCTACTCTTTCCTATTCAAAATACTTTATTTATTTATTTATTTACTGAACATCACCAAAGTATTTGATCTTCATGGGGTTACCACATCCTGGCAGTGGGGGCCCTAACTCTTTGCCCACACAGACATTTCTCAACTAATAGAATAGATACTTATTTTGTAAAGTGATTTCTCCCCCTAGTCTTGATGAAGCTTTCCCTTTCTTTTTCCTTAAAGTCACTATGACCTTGATGGCAATAAGGTATTGTGCAACCAAGTCCAATGGCAAATTTTACTAATGTAAAATCAGATTAATTTCAGAATTGAATAATCTGTGCATGTCTAGTATACTGTATGGCCTGAAACAAATCTAATCTTTATGTCTTGAGTTCTTTATTAGTTAAATAGCAAACTGTTACCTAGTTCCCTTGGAAGTTATGCAAATTAATTAATGTTTGGAAAATGACCTGAAAATTCATTCTATAAATGCCAAACAGTTGCATCTTCCCTGCTGAGAGAGCCCACTCATATAATAAAGGTAAAAATAGTGTACTTGGGCTGTACAATCAAATGTGATTTATATGCAATGTGTGTAATCTTTAAAATCTAGAAACCATTTAATAGAAATAATTCATATTTCATAACTGTAATAAAAGCAGTTTATGACTTTAGGAAAAGTCATAAACTTCTATAACTGATCTAGATATTGTATCTTTGTAATCATCTCTGAGATCTGCAAAAGAATCTACTCAGAGTTCATCTTTAACCTGTTAATATTGATTGATATGTTTATCTTTGAATTCTTCCAGTTTTTTTTTTTTTTTCAGCCTTAACGCTCTAACATTTATTTCCTAGGAAATTTTTTTGGTACAAAATTTTGCTGTATTCAAAACCTCCTCTGTCAAGATTTTGCGTTTTTATATTTAGTCATTAAAATTGAACAAAATCTTAATAGTTCTTTTATTAACTACTATATTGACTTTATATAGTGGAAATCACAACATGTTAATTGGATTTAGTTAACTATTTTAAATTATACAAACTCCTGACAGTAGTAGACAATACACAGGGTATTCATGAGCAATAAAATTGGAGCTGATATTGCTACTTTATTAAAACTTAATGAAACTATTCATAACTTTATCATTTACAAGAAGAAAACTGTGTTCACTGTCAAGGCAAAAGTGTTTGCTGAAACAAATTTTTTTTTATCTAGGTAAAGGTTCAGAAGTTAATCAAAGGGTCTACGATATCCAACCTCACGGTTCTGCCATCTTCTTGTCGCACAGATCCCTATTTCACTCCTATACCAGTCTTACAAGCAGATGCCAACAGAGGTTAGTGATTGAATAGCCATTTTATGTGACTATCCTTATATTATAAGGAAATATGAAGCCAGAATTAATGTAATTAGCGTTTAAACTGTACATGTTTTAGTCTAAACTCTAGCCTTGTGAAACCAGTGGATTTTGTTTTTAAGCAAAGGATCTCATCTTTATCTCAGTATATCTAGTACCTAGAACCATATCCGGCATTTTGTAGATACTAAGTGTTGGGTGAGTGAATAAGAAAATGAAAGAATAAGCAAATGAGTGACCAACTACTGAATGTCCTAAATGTAACCGTCTCTACTTTTCCCTGCTATTTAATTTAATTGACCAAAGTGTTAAAGAATGCCTAGGTGGATCCCCTTTCCTATCTCAAATATAACTTCGTGAGATGGTATTTAATTACTCCTTATCTTACCTTCTGTCTGTTGTCTGGAATATTTAGGACCCAAAGCTGGTTCCCAAAGGTTCTTCTGGCACCTAGAAATTCAAAGTCCTCCAGCTTCTAGCTACTGCATCCTCTGTCTGGTGGTGGTAGAGAACCTGAGATCATTATAAGTCTCTGGATTTGTTGAGCTTCTCACATCTTTCCTAGTTATATACCATTGTTCAGTGATCTTTGTGACATACGCTTTCTAGTTAGCTTATGGAATATTTACTTCCTGGGAATAGTAACACCAGCAGAGTATTCTCGTTTCTTGCTTTAATATAATCTTGTATTTTTCCTGAACCAAATTAGGATGAATGAAATAGTGAATGAATGAATGAATGAATCTGTCTATCCATCTATCTATCTATCTGCTATGCTTTAGCAATAGAAGCAATAAAAAAAATTGCCACAAAATAAAGGTAAATCTAGAATTTTGGCAACCTCATCCAGAAAAGAAATCACATTTTCATTTCTAAATTATATTCATGAGAACACATAGCCTACCATAATATTAGGGATTAATAAAACAATCAGCATATATTTATTGAGTACTTGCCATATGTCTGGTATTGTGCAAGATACCATGAATGTCAGGAAACCACAGGCCATAGAAATATAAATACAGTGTCTATGTTTTTTAGGTGTTCCTGTTGCCCTTTAAGGTTGTTTAAGCCTTAACCCAGATCTACACAGGTCGAGAATGAGATGAAAGACTAATAACATGCAGAAGAGAGAAGCATTTTGAAAAATACACTTTAAACTTTCCTACTTTTTCTTGAATGCCTGGCTAAATCCAAAAAAGAAAGCTTTCCACCACTCCTCCATATGGTTAAGAATACAGGTGTTACTTTACATTGACCAGATTTCAACTTGGTTCTGTGTGACCTGAGGCAAATTCTTTCTAATCTCAGAATAAACTGAACTCTGTAAACCAGTCGTGCTTGATCTGACCCTCACCTACATCTCCATTTCTCATCTTACTCAGCTCTTTCTATGCTTAGCCACCCAGGCCTTCTCTCTGATCTTTATCGGGTGAAGCACTTTTGCAAATCAGGCCTTCACAAGTGCCTTTTCCTTTGCCAGTAAAGGTCACTTCCTCAAGCACCTGTCCTTTTCCTTCAGAGATTATCACAATTCATCATAATGCATTTATTTGTAAATCTATTTAATATCTTCTTCAGCACTAGAGGCTCCATGAGGTCCTTCTGGTTCACCACTGCATCCCCAGCCCCCAGAATAGTTCGTGACACATAATAGGCACTTACTGGTTAAACGAATAAACGGAATGAATGAACTTCCAATTTCTAATCTATTCAACAGGGAATTAAGAGTGGTATGAGGATTTAATGAAACAATGTTGTTAAAGGATAACTTTCAAAAACAGCTAAAATCATGACTCTCATACAAATATAAAATGAACACAGGTCAGAGATTTTTATTTAATTCATCAATTCACAACCAGTTTAAAAGAGAATCCAAAGAATGGACACATTTGTAGATCAGGAATATTGAAGTAAATTTGCAAATAAATGCAAAATTGGATTTCCCATGAGGAGAATTCCCCCTCAGCAGACAGAATTTATTTTCAAGTCTATAGATAAGAGTTATTTGCATTATGATCAGATATTTACAAAGTAACCTCAATTTCTACAGAGTTACAAATAGCCTCATCAAAGGCTAGGCTCAGATATTCACTGGAGACTTCAGAACTCTATTAAAAGGGTATCCAGTGATCCCACTTGCTTATTCTAAAACTTAAAAAAAATTCTTAAAATCTTCTCCCCCTTTGATAAAAATGATCTCAAAAACCAAAAATTCACAAAATAAGGTTGGTCTCAGTAGGATTGGCCTGATAATTTTCATAGGTGGAGCAAGACTTTTCATTTACCATATAAGCCACCTAAAATTTGGTTTGTTGGAAGTTTTCTAGGGAATCTCAGTCTAAATAAAATCCCCTATTACTTGCTGTCCCAAGGCTAGGAAATCAAGCCCAAGAAATTCTGTTCATCAGATTTCAGCTGCAGGACCTATAAATTTGGGTAAATTCCTCTCTTCTAGAAGTCTCCCAAATATCCTAAAGTTCTTGGGGCTACAGCATGTGACCTTCTTACCACCTATAAGGCTGGAAATCATGTAAGTCACATACCAGGCTAGTTTTTCTGAGAGGACTTTGTAAGCATTGGCTCTATAACGCATCAACCTTGATTCTTTAAATGTGACTCATTGGCCAGGCATGTAATCCTGGCATGTAATCCAGGCCTGTAATCCCAGCACTTTGGGAGGCCGAGGCGGGCAGATCACCTGAGGTCAGGAGTTTGAAACTAGCCTGGCCAACATGGCGAAACCTCGTCTCTACTAAAATTAGCCAGGTGTGGTGGCAGGCACCTGTAATCCCAGCTACTTGGGAAGCTGAGGCACGAGAATTTCTTGATTCTGGTGCCTGGGAGGCAGAGGTGCAGTGAGCCGAGATCACGACACTGCACTCCAGCTTGGGCAACAAAGAAAGACTCTGTCTCAAAAAAAAAAAAAAGATGACTTGTCATACCTGATTCAATAAGCATTATTCTCAATGTAAAATTCTAGGCAAGGCCTTGGTTGCATAAGTGATTTTTCTAATTATGTTTTAGTACAAGGAGAACAGCATTGAAACTATGTAAATTACTATGGTGCCATGAAAAGTAGAGACTCAATGAGAGTTTCTGAATTTGGGAGGTACAGGGAGCACATTCAAAGTATTACAAGTTTGATTTCTTTATTTTCTGGGAATTTTATGAATATTCAGTTTATATAAACACTTATTTATCTCTACAAGCCAATCAGAACAGAATTCCTTTAAGAGCCTTTATGATCTAATTTATTAATGACATCTGGAGATAGGAAAACATTCTACCCTCACAATATGAGATTAGGAACTTTCTGAATTACAGATACAAAGACATAGAAATAGCCTGTATACCCTCAATTCTACAATTTCAGCCACAGGTAAATAGAGAACACACACATTGGCCAGGCACAGTGGCTCATTCCTCTAATCTCAGCACTTTGGGAGGCCGCTGAGATAGATGGATTGCTGGAGTCTGGGAGTTCAAGACCAGCCTGGGCAACATGGCGAAACCCCAACCTCAACAAAAAATACAAAAACTATCTGGGCATGGTGGTGCACCTGTAGTCCTAGTTACTCAGAAGGCTGAGGCGAGAGGATGGCTTAAGCCCTGGAGGCGGAGGTTGCAGTGAACTGAGATCACGCTACCACACTCCAGCCTGGGCTGTAGAGTAAGACCCTCTGAAAAAAAAAAAAAAAAAAGAAATAAAGAAAAGAAAAAAAAAAAGAGAAAATAAATGCAGAAACACAAAAAGCTTACCAGTCCAGATACCAAAGAGTTATTCTCCTTCCTTGTGAGCAAGAAATTCCTAATTTGAGCTCAAAATAGACAGATGGATAAAAACTAAGAAACTGTATTCTCTTTAAGAGATTAGATCATTTCTAGAGATCACCAAATTACCAATCATGGAAGCTGCCAACAGGGAATAACTTGCCATCCATAAATGAACTAAAAAGAAAAACAAATTAATAGAGAGTAAAGTTAAAATTGGAAAAACAAGAAACTTTAACCTGTGGGAGCCAAGAAAAATCAGGCCTAGGCTTGATTTTGCTCACTTGTGGCCCCTTTCGCTCATCTCAGTGGGAACTCCAAAACTGTTAAAGGATGATTTTTTTCAAAAGTAAAGTTATGACTCTTATATAAATATAGAACACATGTCAGATATTTTATTACCTTATTAATTAAGTGAGGGAACTAGTAAGATGTTACAATAAAAGGAGAATCCAAATAGACACATTTATAAATCGAGAATATTTAAACAAATTTGCAAATGGATGCAAAAGTGGCTTTTCAGGGAGAAGAGTTGTCCTTCCATGTGAAAGAATTTAAATTTGCATGTGTATAAACAAGATTTATTGGCATTCTTACCAGATTTCTACAAATGAACCTTAATCTTTAGAGAATTATAAAATGGACAATTAAAAACAAAGATGCAGCCTGGCAGAGTGGCTTACGCCTATAATCCCAGCATCTTGGGAGGCCAAGACAGGAAGATTGCTTGAAGCCAGGAGTTCAAGACTAGCCTGGACAACATAGTGAGACCTAGTCTCTACAAAAAAAAAAAAAAAAAAAAAAAAGCCAGACTTTATTTCAATAGTTTCAGCTACTTAGGAAGGAGAAGGCAGGAGGATCACTTTAGCCCAGACATTCAAGAGTGTGGTGAGCTGTGATGGCGCCACTGCACTCCAACCTGGTCAACAGAATGAGACCCTGTCTCTTAAAAAGCAAAACAAAACAAAGATGCATACAGAATCCCATAGGATTGTAGGTCAGATCATCTTCAGAGGTTCCAGCATTTCAATGAAAAGATGCTTAATAATCTCTTCTGCTTATTCCAAAGTCTGAACTTCTTCCTTCCAATAGATGCACACACAGTTTGTCTGAAATTAAGATAATTGCTTCAACCAGCACTAAAGCGAGGGTTGAAATCGTACTTGCAGTCTTCAGATTTCTTGGAGAATGAAACTGACTCTTCAAATGAAAATATACTGAATTAGAAGGTACCCTGTTTTTCACATCTGCAAAACAAGCAGCGTTCTTGGAAATGGAATTTGATATTTATAGGATGGAAAATATTTGTAAGGACAAAGAATTAGTTTAACCAGATTTTTTTTTTTTTTTTTTTTGAGATGGAGTTTCGCTCTTGTTACCCAGGCTGGAGTGCAATGGCGCGATCTCGGCTCACCGCAACCTCCGCCTCCTGGGCTCAGGCAATTCTCCTGCCTCAGCCTCCTGAGTAGCTGGGATTACAGGCACGCGCCACCATGCCCAGCTAGTTTTTTGTATTTTTAGTAGAGACGGGGTTTCACCATGTTGACCAGAATGGTCTCGATCTCTCGACCTCGTGATCCACCCGCCTCGGCCTCCCAAAGTGCTGGGATTACAGGCTTGAGCCACCGCGCCCGGCCCTTAACCAGATTTTTAAAGTAGTTCGATCTAGTGTTATAAAAATTAAAACCTGAAGTACTAATTTCAGAAAGGTCCTAAAGTGTTATACTCTAGATCAGTAGTTCTTAAGTGTTAAAAGTACAAAAGATTAACCTGGTGTGCTTATTTAACGTGTATATAAGGCCCCAGTTCTAGTGGTTCTCAAATCTCAGTGTACGTGAATAGCTCATGGAGGCTTCAGTAATGCAGATTCCCAGGCCCTGTCCTCAGAAATTTGGATAGGTCTGAGTTGGGGCCCAGGAGTCTCCACTTTTAGTAAGACATTCTTCCCCCAACTGATTCTGTAGTATATTAACTGGAGATTTCTCTTTGGTCATTGTTTTGCAAGTGAACTATTTTTCAGCTCTCCAGCCCCTTCTGTGATCATTCTAATGAATTCCTGTAACACTGGACAACATTCTTCATAGTACTATAGTATAGAAGGTCATAAGGTAAATGGAAATAATATTGGTCCCCCTTAGAAGGGATGAAGTTCGTATGCCAAATTCTTCAACTTAGGCCAACGTGGAGACACAGTTTGTATTCTAGGATTTTATTGAGACTTAGAGTTCTTTACTTAATTTCTATTATGTAAAAGAGCAACAGGAAACTGAAGCCCTGCCACAAATTTATCCCAGGTAGTCCCCAACTTTCCAGGTTTCCGACTTCAAGATAGTAGATCCACCTTAATGAAAGTTTTTCCTCCGACCTGCAGGCTTTGGTGAATCACTCGTTGATTTATTCATTTGCGTGTTTATTTAATGATGTCTCTTATCGTTTAAAAACTTTGGCATCCGTGCTAACACAGTATGAATACTAGGAATTGTAAATTAGTGAGATTAATACTATTTTGGCCGGTTTTATGAAAATAACTTAGCTGAGCATTTCTATCTTCTGGTGATATGAGAAATGTCTAAAAATAACTCCTTATTTTATAAAGCATGACTGATTATAAAACAGGGGCATGGTTTCAGGTACACAGATTTCCTTCTTTCGGAACAAAGGATTTCTTTAGTTATTAAGAATGTGTGCCTGATTTCTCTGAATTTTAAAAAGAGTAATAATATTACCAATGATTGAAAATATCGTTAAGTATAAAGAATTTTTAGTTTGCCTTGAAATTGTATTTCCACCTTAAAATGAAACTACTTTAGTGCAATTTTATTTCATTTAGAAATGACATTTTTCCTTGGGTTAGAATGTTACATTTAAATGATTGGGTACTGTAGCTGTTTTTTCGTGCAAAGGATTAGGGCACTAGATGTACCCTCACAAATAAGATGATGAATGGAGCAAGTTACACTTGTGAAATTTATAGAGCTTAGACTTTGTGAAATTGCTTGGAATTAAACTCACATTCTATTAATGTTCCTTTTTAGGGATTTTAAGTCTGATAGAACGAGGGTTGATTCCACCAACAGCAAGGATTACCTTTCAGAATCCACCCATTATACCCAGAGCAGCTCCTCTGCATTATTTGAATGAAGCACGTAAGATTCCAACTGCAGGTAAGACACTCTTGCCTCTACATTCAGTTAGGGACACACAGAAATTACTTTTGCCCAAAATCTAGCCTTTTAGTAGCCAACTTTTGTCCTCAATAATGGGACAAGGTGAAAGTTGTAATCATCCTGAGTTTCACTTTAGTAAAGAAATTAATTTTAGCCATCTTTGTAAATTACATATTGAGGGCCTGTGCTCCCTGTGCCAGAAGGTTCATATTTTCAAGGGGCTTGCAGTTTGGTTGGGAAAACAAGATAGATATAATAAAGATAAATAATAATATAAAGTAACATGGAATAAAAACCAAATGGATGTTAAGGTCTGGTGAAATAGCAGTTCAGAGTAATAACTGCTGAGGGTTGAGACGACGGAAGGAGATTTTAAGGAAAATAATGAAATAGGTGTTAGAGAAAAGCACCGACCTAGGAATCTAGTAACTCGTTGCAGAATCTTGGACAAGCTATTTACTTTTTCTGGGCTGCAGTTTTCCCAGTCACAAAATGATAGGTTTTGGCTAAATTGATTGATCTTTAATTATTTGTTACATAAATAAATTAATAAATATTTTTAAATATTTAAAAATTGTTTAAAAATAAATAAATATTTGTGGAATGCTTGTTTTATCCAAAGTAGCATCTAGGTGCTGGAGATCCAGCAGAAAATATCAGGCAACATATCTGTTCTCCTGGTGTTTATATTCTAGTGGGAGACAGATAAGCAGATACATAAATAAGAATTTAGTGATAAATGCTAGAAATAAAACAGTATGGGTTAGAGAACGATAATGAGGAGGCTACTTTGTTTGTGAGGGAAGTGTCAGGGAATATCTCTAAGAAGAGATATGAGGCTTCAGCTGAGATTTAAATGATGAAGGAGAGCCAGTCAGGTAAAGATCTAGGGAAGAGCATTTTAGATACATGACAGCACAGGGACCAAGGCCCTGAGGACCAAGAGGGAACGAGCAAGACGGCGAAACCATGAGCTAGGGAGAGAAAGGGAAGAGATGAGGGTGAAGAGGTAGGGAGGGATTACATGCTGTAGGCTAGAACAGAGACTGTAAGATGTCCTCGATATTTATTCTTCCCTACCTTCCTAGTAATAGAGTTGTGGGTCGGCACATGTCATTTTAACTAACGACATTTCCCAGCCTTACTTGCAGCTGGGTGTGCCATGTGAGGAGGCTGTGGACAATGACGATATTAAGCAGAAGTTGGGGGAAAGAATTCTGGGCTATGCCCTTAAGAGAAAAGAAGCATAGCCCCTCTTTTGCCTTTCCTCCCTCTGGCTAGCTGGGATGCAGATGTGATGATGAAACTTGGGCAAGCATTTTGGAGCCAGGTGCCCTGCCAATTCAGGACTGTCTTCCTTTGATCTGTGTATGAGAAATAAAGAACTCAGTTTATTTAAACCACTCAGTGTATATTAAGATCTTTCTTTTTAAATACCTTAGACTATACCAGAACCGGCATGGCAGGCTTCCAAACCATAGTGAAGAGTTGCATGTAATTCTGCTGACAGAACCCACTGAAAAATTTAAACAGAGTCTGAGATGATCTGATGTGTGTTTTAGTAACCACTTTGCAGATACCAAATCATAGGGGGAGCATGGAGTCTAGTTAAATGACTATTGCCGTAAGCCAGGTGAGAAATAATGTTGGATATGAGGAAGATGGTATTAATGAAGATGAAGAGAAGTAAACACGTTCAGGTTATATTTTGGCAGAAGCATTAGGACTGGCTGTTGGACAGGATTGAGGAAAAGAGAGGCATCAAGGATAAATATGTATGAATGTATGAATGAGTATCTGTGAATGTGCTTCAATTTTGTATATATCCTACTGTTGATGGGAATTTTTGTGGTTTATATTATAGAGCTATTAGAAATAATACTTCTATGAGCATTGTTAAATTCTTTTTTTCTTTTTTTTTAAGATAGGGTCTCGCTTTGTCACCCAGGTGACAAAGTGCAGTGGCACAATCTCAGCTCACTGCAACCTCTGCCTCTCAGGTTCAAGCAATTCTCCTGTCTCAGCCTCTTGAGTAGCTAGGGCTACAGGTGTATGCTACCATGCCCAGCTAATTTTTGTATTTTCAGTAGAGACAGGGTTTCACCATAGTGGTCAGGCTGGGCTCGAACTCCTGACCTTAGGTGACCCACCCACCTTGACCTCTCAAAGTGCTGGGATTATAGGCATGAGTCACTGTGCCCAGCCATTATGAACATTTTTGTACATGCCTTTTAATGCACATTTGTAGCTGTCTTTCAATCCACATATGTAACATTTCTGTTGAAGATACATTAAAAAGTGGAATTGCTGAGTCTTAGTGTTTATATATGCTCAGATTTAATAAATAAAACTGCCAAATAGTTTTCCAACGTGGTTATACTGACTTATTTTCCTATTAGCAGTATATGAATATTACAGAATATTCATCTTTGTCAACACTTGTTTAAAACTTTAACCATCCTGAAGAGTCTGTTGTGGTATGTCCTTGTGGGTTTAATTTCTACTTTCCTGATGATCAGTAAAATTGAGCAAGTTTTTTTGATAATGCATATTGGTTATTTGATTATCCTCTCTTTAACCCCTTTTTGACATTGGATTGTCTTTCTTTCTCTTAGTGATTTATAGGAATTACTAGATATTCTAGGTACTAATCTTTTATCAGTTATATGTATTGCAAATAATTTTTCTTACCCTGTGGCTTGGCATTTCACTGGTACTGTTTTGTTTTTTTTTTTAACTTTTCATTTTGAGATAATGGTAGATTCACATGCAGTTGTAAGAAATAATGCAGAGCAATCCTTTATACTCTTTACACAATTTTCCCCGATAGTGACATATTGCAAAACTAAAATATAATATCACAAGCAGAATATTGATGCAAGCAAGATATAAAACGGTTCCATCACCACAAGTATTTCTCATAGTGCCCTTTGATAGCTATGCCTGCTTCCCTCCAGCCCTACACCCCCTTAATCCCTGGCAATCAATAATCCATTCTCTGTTTCTATAATTTTGTCATTTCAAGCATGTTATATAGACAGATTCTAAATGGACAATGCTACATTGTCCATTTCATCTAATACAATGATTTCAAGAATTGACTTTTTTTATTCAATATAATTCTCTGGAGAGTCATTCAGGTTATATTAATAGTTTTTTCCTTTTAGTTAATAGGTCATATTAACAAATATATATGATTACATTAATGTTTTATTGCCATTATTGATAATTTAGTTCTTATATTAATAGTTTATTCCTTTTTATTGCTGAGGAGAATTCTATGTTAGAATGTACCACAGTTGTTAAACCATTCACCTGTTGAAGGACATATGGATTGTATTCAGTTTTGAGCTACTATTAATAAAGCTGCCATAAACATTTGTATATTGGTTTTCATATACACATGTGTTTTTATTTCTTTAGGATAGATACCCAGGAGTATAATTGCTGGTCTTACAATAATTGCATTTTTATTTCCTCTGCATGTATTTAGAGCCACATCATACAGTGTTACTACTTTTTGTTTTAACCATCAAATATAATTTAGAAAACTCAAGTAAAGGAAAGTCTGATTTTTTTACCCTATTTTTGCTTATCATGTTCTTCCTTTTTCCTAATATTCCCAAGATTTTTTTTTATCATTTGCTTTCTATTTAGAGAATTTCCCTTAGCCATTCTTTTAGAGTCAGTATCCTAACGAAAAACTATCTTCATTTTCCTTAATCTTAGAATGTCTTGCTTTCCCTCTCTATTCCTGAAGGATATTTTCACTCGGTATAGGTTACTGAGTTGATAATTCTCTGCACTTGAAAAAAAAAAAAAAAGTTGGGCCACATTCTTTTGGCTTCCATGATTTCTGTTGAGAAATCTGCTTCTGGATTATTTTTCTCCTATAGATAAGGTATTGGTTTTCTCCTGCTGCTTTTAATTTTTGTTCTCAGTTTTTGGTTTTCAGAAGTTGTACTGTAATGTATCTTGGTGTCGATTTCTTTACATTTATTCTGTTTTAGTTTGGCTCAACATCTTGAATCTGTAGGTTTATGTCTATTGCCAGATTTAGGAAGCTTTTAGCCATTATTTATTTGAGTACTTTTTTCAGCTTTGACTGCTATCTCCTCTCTATCTAGGACTGTGATGATACAAATGTTAGATTTTTTTTGGATATAGTCTCACACATCCCTGAGGCTGTGTTCTCTTTTCTAGTCTGTTTTTTTCTCTTTTGTTCAGATTGGGTAATTTCTATTTTTCTGTAGTCTCATCTACTGGATTTTGTATTTAGGCTACTGTAGTTTTCAGTACTAAAATTTTCATTTGGTTCCTTTTTACATATTCTGTGTCTTTGTGGAGACTTTCTTTTCCTTTTCTAAGACTATAAATTTCATTTGTTTCCAGACTCTCTGCAATTGCTTATGGAAGCATTTTTATGGCAAGCTGCTTTAAAATCTTTGTCAGGTAATTCTAAGATCCTTGTCATTTCACTGTTGGTATCTATTCATTATCTTTCTTCATTCAGTTTGAGGTCTTTCTGGTTCCTGATATGATGAGTAATTTTCAGTTGAAATCTTAACATTTTGAATATTATGAGAGTCTGATTTTTATTTAAATCTGTTTTAATGAGTACTCCTGAGCCCCCTATTTATTCCCTATCCATTTAAGGAATAAGTCAAATTAGTTGTGAAACATCATCCTGTTTATATTTTGCTGGATTTCATTTGTTAATATTTTGGTTTGATTTTTGCATTTTTGTTCACATGTGAGACTGGTCTAAATTTAATCTTTACCTGTAATGTTTTCCTTAGATTTTAATATCAATGTTAGTTTTGCCACAATGAGTGAATGTGGTCTTTTTTTATATTCTCTGGAAGAGTTTAGATCCAACTGGTACTATTTCTTTCTTAAATGTTTAGAATAATTTAACAGTGTATCCATTTAGTTTTCTTTGAGAATAGGCTTAGAATTAAGGATTTAATTTCTTTAACAAATACAGGACTGTTTTG